TTGATTTTATACATATCTGCAAAATTTTTACGCTATTCAAAATTAACTCAGTAAATAATACTTTTTATATGCGAACGGTATTTACATGAAATATTTAACAAATATAAAACATTTTCCGTGTTGATATACAGTTATATCAACACGAGTGGAAATTGGGAAAACGAGAAATTGTGTGGAAACACGACGCCCGAAGGGCGGAGTGTTTTCACACAATTTCGAGTTTTCCCAACTTCCACGAGTGTTGATATAACTATATATCAATACGGAAAAAATGTTTTATATTTGTTTTATAATATAGCAATGTCAAAAGCCCGAAGAATAAGAAAAATTTCCGTGTTACAAGCGGCGGAAAATTTCCCGTGTTGACATGGAGTTATATCAACACGGCTCTTAGCCAATCAGCGTTCAGAATTTACAAATGCTATATTATAATGTAATATAGTGATTAATAATATTGTTAATCTATTTGGGGCAATCAATACAGCTTATCGTGTTTTTACGTGTGTTTATAATGGTCTTTTGCCTACAGCAAATATAGCTTGACCAAAATATAACTAAAAAACTAGCTTCTGCCTATGAAGCAAATATATTTTACCGTATTCTCGAGCAAACTACTGTTGGCAAAACAAGGTTTTCAGTTTCTGTAAATGTAAATGTGTTTATTAAGTTTCTGACATTGCAACCAAAGGTTGAAATACGTCGAAATTAAATTAATATTACAGGTAATTAGAATTTATGTATGACTAATTATTTTTACAACAATTAATTATTAAATTAAAAGCATTTAGTTTTTCAGCACAGTTGAGCAGCATTTCCAGCCGAGGAAGGACCAATTTGTACTTGAAACCCATCTTCCAAAACTGGTCTTCGAGCTTGGGTTTACAGTTCCTCTTAACACCTTTTCAGCTCTAGCCTTTTTATTAATTGTAGAGGGGCGTGTAATAATGGCATTCTGGTCGCTTAACCCGATGTCGGGCAAAATTTCGGGAATACTGTAAAAGCGCAAGAGATTTGTAAAAATAAGATCAAGAATTGCATTCCCGCGAGTTGGATTTTTTACGATTTGTTGAAGATTAGAATGATTACAAAGGAATTGATAATGCAGGCGGTTAAAATTACCGACCAACATAATTTCTGCATTATAGGAAACAGGGCAAAGAGTGAGTCTAATGATGTAATCAAATATTCCATGCAAAGAGCATCATCTTCTTGGGGGGGGGGGGAGGTATATTATTTCAATTATAATACAGGAAAAGCTTCGGTGTAATCTTTGTGGACGATGATATAACCATGTCGCTTCGAATGAAGGATTATGCAATTCCTGTAGAACCGTAAAACCAATGTTAGATTTAATATACGCGCAAACACCACCACCCCGTTTATCTGACTTCCGATCCATATCTAGACAACAGTTATCTAGACAACAGTTATATCGTTGGATTTGTCTAAGGCATTCAACTGTATAACCGAGTAAACAATAAACCGAGTCAAAAAATGTTTCGATAAAGAAGCTTTAACTCTCATCGTCTCGGCACTTGTAATGAACAAAATGTTCTATTGCTCAACGGTTTGGTCAAACACTTCGTCTACCAACATTAAGAAACTACAGTTGGTACAAAATTTTGCATGGAGGATAATAACAAATATTGGAAAGTTCGACCATATTTCGCCGGGCTTACGCGAACTTAACTGGCTCCCAGTAAAGGAACAATTACTACTAAGAGAGGCTATTATGATGTACAAATGTGTCAATGAACTTGCTCCACATTATTTGAGCGATTTATTCACAAAACGTTCTAACATTCATCAACGAGATACACGTAGCCATGACTCACTGCAAATACCATTGTACAAAACTTCTGCAGGTCAAAGGTCCTTTCATTATAGAGGCGTTACACTCTGGAATGATTTGGACATAAAGTACAAAAAGTTAGACTCCCTAAAAACTTTCAAAAACGAACTGAATCGAAACATGCTAGAACAAATATATAAGTAGATAATTTTACCTTGTTAAACTTTATACAAATGTCTTACCTTTTTACCTTAATTTAAATTCTAGATTCTAAAACTTGTAAATAGAACAACATTTATTTTTTGTAAATCAGTGTCGAAAATCCCTATTTAGGGAACACAATAAAGTATGTATGTATTTACTCTTGGCAAAACTCAGGCCATATGGTGTTCGTGAACATTCTGCAGTGTCTTTTTTAAGGAATTTTCACTGGGGGGGGGCAAAACAGGAAAAAAGGCAGAACGAAAAATATGAGCCGTCGAGGTTTGGCGAACGCGCGAGTCTGAAGAGAGATTTTGTAAAACTTTAATTTATTAACTTCACCTATATTTTACTTTAAATAATAACTTCAACTCTTTGTAGCTATAATCGTACAGCTACTAGCAGTGGCGTAGCCAGACCTTCATTTTTGGGGGGGGCGAACCTCACGTCGAAGGCGTGAGACCGTTTAGGAGGGTCCGGGGCTGCCGGGAAAATTTTGAAATCCAGGGTCCCTGAATTGCGATTTCAAGCATTTTGGGGATGAAATCTAGCAGAATTCCGAAGATTATAAAGTACAGAATAACATCGAAGACATGAATTTTTCCAGACATTTCTACTCGAGTTAAATAAATTGGAAAAGTCACCTTGAAAAATAGGAGGAGGGGTCAGTGTCACCTTATTTCCTCTCTGTGATGCTGGGGGGGGGGGAGAAAATCCCAATGTGATTTTGATCAGAAATGTTGCATTTAAATCATTTTAAGTTCTGTGAGACACCATTTCCGCATTCTCAAAATTAATATTGCGTTGCTTTTTCATACGATACAGAATAAATCTGAGAAGAAATATTCATGCTATGATATGGATGACGCATACATGTATTTAACAGTTAAAAATCTAAACTAAATCTATTCTTCTTGGAACCAGCATTTTATCGGATTGTTTGCATGAAATCTATCGCTATTATGAAATACTCGGTGAAGAACAATATGAATTACACACAAGATGGCTGTGGAGGAGGCTATGGAAGGGCATAATCTCATTATCAAGTAAATCAACTGCAATTCTGACAGCAATCATGAGCAATTCTGCTTCGCACTTGGGGGGCAGAAATGGCTTTACTGGGGGGGGGGGGAATTCTTTCCCTGGGGGCAATTGCCCCCCCCCCCAGATATATAGTTAAAAAAGGCACTGACATTCTGTAAGTTTATTAAGAAGCTATCTGTTTAGTCGTATGCAACGTGTGAAAATTGGTGACACATATTCAAGTTGGGAATTGGTAACTAGGGGAGTTCCACAAGGCAGTGCCTTGGGGCCAAGATTGTTTAATATTCACATTAGCGACTTGTTTTACAATATAAGTCTTGGAACACTTCATGCTTATGCAGATGATGAACAGTTGTACAACTCTGATCGTGATGCTGCAGTTCTGGAGAGTAAGCTTGAACATGAACTGAACTGATCATGATAAATACATGGTACAGCAATAATGATGGCATGATTGTAAATCTTGAAAACATCAAGCAATGGTCCTTGGCGATTGTAATCACAAATTTGCATTCCCTGGCCTGTAAACGATTCGATTGAGTTATTAGGAGTAACATTAAATAACGAATTGAAGTTTAATTGTCATATTACATCAATTTGTGGCAAAGTTAACAATCAGTTCGGTGTGATAAAGAGGTTTGGAAAACTTTTTAGCAAGAAATTATTATTTAAATTTTATAAAATATTTGTTTTACCACATTTTCGGTATTGCTCGCTTATTTGGCATTTTTGTGGAAAAGGAATTATGCTGAAAATTATAACCTCTAAATAGACGTATATTAAGATATATCACTACTCACGGACGATTTTAGGACGATAACGGACATTAATAGATTTAAAACCGCAATTAGAAAGCTGGATTTTTCTATTCTTTCTTAAAATAGAATTGTATAGCCAGATATATAGATATATTTTCCTTACATTGTATTGCATGCTCGAAGATATTAGCTCATTGTTTGAACTACTCTGTAAATTCGAGTTGAAATAAAGTGTATGTGTGTATGTGTGTATATATGTATTATCCGATTCAGTGCATGGTGATTTTTTGTCAGAGGGCGGAACAATTTGCATAAGCCTTATTGTTGCAATAAGACTGAACCGTTCGTTTTCCATTTCTTTAGATTTTGTGTTCATATCCAATACTATAAGGGTAAGATTAGTTACCTTTTCCCAAAGAGCCTGGTTTTCTTTCTTCAAATCCTGATTTTCACATCTTAATTCGCTCACTAAAAGTTGTTGCTCGTTCTCTTTTATTCCAGATACCATTTGTTCCAGGTCATTAAGTGGCAGTCCCGCTAAGAGCGGTCCGATGACTTTGACTTCGGAAACTGATAGATTTTCTTTATATTTTGTGTGTTGAAAGGCATTGGTATACAAGTGTCCAAAATAAATTTTTTTTTGAAAATTCTTTTTTATGGCTTCGCTAGACGCCGAAACTCATTTTACCCGTGCAGAGCTATTTTCAAGCAAAATCGAAGGTTGAATTTCGGTAAATTGTAGAGCCGCGCTGAGTCAAAACGCCTGACTATTCCAAAATTTCAACTAGATCAACAAGTTAAGATACAATTCAGGTTCCCTGTTCCATAAAATAAGAACAAATCGTGAATAAACAAATCGTGAATAAACTACAGCAACTTGACGGCACACCGGTTTTTGCTTCTTGTTCGGTCTACAAAATTACACTAAAATCGAAGCCTGAGATCTCCAAATGGGGACCTAAAATTACGCTAAAATGTGCTTGGTTGTAATGATTTATACTTCTTTTCAGAAGATCTGAAGAAAAACCTGAGGGTATCAATCAGTATTTGGCGCGAGTTAAGATTTTCTGGAGCCCATAATCAATGATTTTTGCATAATTTATATCTAATTAACATATTTCTTGAGAGGCGCCAAGGGACCGGTCATTATTTATGGGGG